ACAAATATCTATAATTTGGAACTGCACAAGGAGACAAATATCTGCTGATTTGGGGAAAAGCACATGGAGACAAATGTCTATAATTGGAACTCATTGGGGCAAATATCTATGATTTGGAACTGCACAGCAGAACAAATATCTGCTGATTTGGAACTACACATGGAGACAAACATCTGCCAGTTGGAACTCACATGGAGACTTAAATAACATTTGAACTGGACAAATATCTATAAATTGACATGGAATATCTAGTCTAGGATCTCTTGATTTGGAGAAAAAATATATATGACTTGGAACTGACATGGAGACAAATATCTATAATTTGGAACTGCTGGTGGAGACTCACAGTGAGACATATGATTTGGGACAAATATTTGAACTATGATTTGGAACTGCACATGGAGACAAAATATCTGGGGGACAAATACACAGACAATATCTATATAATTTGGAAACTGCACATGGAGACAAATATGGAACTATGATTTGGAACTCATGGAGACAAATAACTATGATTTGGAACTGACAAATACATGGAGAAAAATATCTGAGACAAATATCTATGATGGAGACAAATAATTCTACATTGGACAAATATCTATGATTTGGAACTGGAACACATGAGACAAATATCTATAATTTGGAACTGCACTATGATGGCATTTGGGACAAATATCTATAATTTGGAACTGCACATGGAGAATAAATATCTATGAGACAAATATCTATGATTTGGAACTGCACATGGAGACAAATAACTATGATTTGGAACTGCACATGGAGACAAATATCTATGATTTGGAACTGCACATGGAGACAAATATCTATGATTTGGAACTCACATGGAGACAAATATCTATGATTTTTGAACTGCACATGGAGACAAATATCTATAATTTGGAACTCACATGGAGACAAATATCTATGATTTGGAACATGGTGCACATGGAGACAAATATCTATGATTTGGAACTCACATGGAGACAAATATCTATGATTTGGAACTGCACAAGGAGACAAATATCTATGATTTGGAACTCACATGGAGACAAATATCTATGATTTGGAACTGCACATGGGACAAATATCAATGATTTGGAACTGCACTTGGAGACAAATATCTATAATTTGGAACTGCACATGGAGACAAATATCTATGATTTTGGAACTGCACATGGAGACAAATATCTATGATTTGGAACTGCACATGGAGACAAATATCTATGATTTGGAACTGCACATGGAGACAAATATCTATAATTTGTAACTGCACATGGAGACAAATATCTATGATTTGGAACTGCACATGGAGACAAATATCTATGATTTGGGAACTGCACATGGAGACAAATATCTATAATTTGGAACTGCACATGGAGACAAATATCTATGATTTGGAACTGC